CGTTTGCTCATGTGGTCGATGTTATATTGGTGGGACAAATATTGGGAGAATACAAAAATGCTTGTAAAGGAAGCTGGGTCCAGCGGTCAGAAGTGGCCGAACGCATGGTAGAAACTGGACATGAAATAGAATGGTCTCAAACCAGTAGGTTTGCTAATTATGGTACGTCTGCTGTTAAAAGACTTATAAGAGAGGATATTGAAATTAATAGATTATGAAATACTTTGAATATGAAAAACCGTGGTAGAAAGTTAAGTATGAACTACTTATGCTTGATTGATAGATTGAAGGAGAGAGAGGGTGTTGAGCCTCCATCCAAAAGACAGTGACCATAATAAAGATAATTAACAAAACCATTCTATATCGATCTATATTTTTAAATTTATTTTTCTTAAATGAGACTATATAAATGGTCTTAGTGTTAACTTGATAATTTTACAAGAATGAGTACCAGCTCTGATAATATCCGTCATATGATGGACGAAAGCTCATCCCGCTTTCACCTAAAAAGAGGAAGGAGGTCTTGTGGACTGCATCAATTTAAACGTGGTAGAAGAGCCAAACGGCTTCAGTACAACGGGATTTAACCGTGCTCTTCTGGTGAGATCGACCTTCGAATCTCTTATTCATACACTTTTCATACGAAATGAAAGTCTCAACAATAAAATCTCATAGCGCTTGATCTGCATTAATTTATTGGCATATCATTTATAGTATATTTTAAACTATATGATACCACTGCCGCATCAAGTAGCTATACATGTATTTCCTTTTTATCGGAATGCCACGAGTAGTTGTTTCCAGCACGATATCTGTATATTTGTTGTTAACAAACAGATTTTTTTATGTAATTTTATTTTGTTTATAATCATTTTGTCTCAGGCAACCTTCTCGTTTAGACACTCAAGCCTCTCGATGTGGTATTAAAATCGGCTTAGCGTTTTTGCATTGAGATGGTGACCAAGAGGGTATGGCCTTTTGTGTGGTCGCAGTCTCATTTCGTTGTATATAAGTAAGTCATATTGGTAGCAAGACTTATGGTAACGCACCTAGTCCGGAGTTCATTTATTGCATTATAATTTCCCAAGTCGGGCCGTGGACGTGGTACATTCCCAGACGTTTCGCCGGCATCATCAGTAAGTCTTTTCATTCTTAGCACCACAATACAACTTGTCAAAGGGACAGGTGAAGTCGATCCTTTGACCAAATATGTGCCAATCAGTTGTGGTATTTCTCCTGTCCTGGACTATTCACCACTCCTATATCCTCATATTACGCCTTCACTGTGACAATTTTTCCATGCTTATTTAGAGCTAGTGTGGTGTGCCCTTTTGAGCGGCATTCATGCAAACCATCCACACTCTACGCTGGTGTTCTCACCCTCCTTCATCCTTGTTTTGGGAGTGTTGATCAGAGTCTGCCATATTGTTACGCAGTTCTCCTTCCCTAAGTCTTATCAGAGTCTACCTCTTGCCCCGTATAATCCATCTGCTATCTCCCTTGTTCAAGTATTCCACTCGACCCCTGCCATCCCATCTGTGTTACTCAGGGCGTTATTACCCGTCTCCTGCGTCTGGGTGACTGATTCGAGGCTAAAGTTTCTGAGTAAGTTTCATGGTCAAGCCTTTGCTATATGGATCACGTCTATGATAAAATTTACTGTCAACCAACACGCTCCAGTCTCCGCAGCGTCTATCCTGTTTCTATCCCTAACAGCAAGTCCTTGACTTGTTATGTCCTAGTCTATTGTGTGTCAACCCACAAACGTTGTGTTTCAACATTGAACCTAATCAAAGCAAGCAGTACCACAACATTTTTGGGTTGGCACTTAAGAGACTAGGACATAGCAAGTAATAGACTTGGTATTATGGATAGAAACAGGATAGACCCGGCAGATAGACGTGGTACATGTAACAAAGGCTTGACGATGAGACTTACTCAGAGGCTTTAGTCTCGAATTAATCACCCAGACGCAGGGGAGGGCGAATAACGCCTCGAGTAGAACAGATGGGGTGCAGGGTCCATTTAAATACTTGAACCATAGAGATAGCATATGGATTCTACGCGGACAGATGGAGACTATGATAAGACCTAGACTCATTGGCAAGACTCACTGACGATGCCGGCGAAACGTCTGGGAATTTTACCACGTCCAATTTGACCAAGTTGCGAAAACAAGGTCAAACAACTTCTATTGAACTTTTTTTCTATGTTATTATAAAACGAATAAGCTTTTCGAAGATATGAAGTCCAAGATGATGTGGCCTTTTGTGTGGTCGCAGTTTCCTTTCGTTGTATAGAGGTTGTTTGATTTTGTTTTCACATCCTGGTCATATTGGTAGAAAGACTGAGAGAAACGCACCTAGTCCGGAGTACACTATATGCATGATAATTTCCAAAGTCAGACAGTGGACGTGGTACATTCCAAGACGTTTCGCCGGCATCGTCAGTGAGTCTCGTCACACAACAACTCGTCAAATAGATAAGTGAAGCCGATCCTTTAACCAAACGTGTGCTAAACTGTTGTGGCATCTCCTTTTCTGCCCTGGGCTATTCACACTTCCTATATTCTCCTATCATTCCTTCACTGTTACAATTTTTACCGTGCCTATTTCGATGTTGTTTGGTATGCTCCTTTGAGCGGCCTTCATGAAAACCTTTGACGCCCCACACTGACGTTCTCACCCCCCTCACCCTTCAGTTTTGCAGACATTCAATCTCACGCTTTCAATCCTTAGGGCGTGATTCTTTGCGTTACTATTTCATTTCTTTTAAGGGTCGAGTTGAGGGGATTGGCTTCACCGGTTTCACCGGAAGCCGAAGGATCTTACTTGGAATTGTTACAACATTTGTGTGGATAGTTCCTCGGTGCACCGAACGGACATCATCAGTGCAGAACAACTTGTTTTACAAAGTCACCAAACTCTGAGATAAGGAAGTAGTGAAATGCCGACTTGTACACGCCGTCATATCTCCAAGGTGATCATATTTCGGTTTCTGGTTGGCTCAGTTTTTTAATATGAGAGGTATTCAACCGCGACAGTGCAGAATGGAAGCTTGACACGTTAACCACTCGGCCACATTGCCACTAGTGCCCCTTGATCACTCCCGCTGGTGGTGTTGTTAAGACCGATTGTAGGTCGAAACTGCAGTCTACCCTGAATGAGAACAACTTGGGAAAGCAAGGCTATGTGAAATGCAATAGAAACGTCAGCTCGACTCATATCATTGTGGGGAAATCTAACTACCCGTCTTTCATCACCTTAAACGAATTAGGGTGAATACCCCTCATATTACTGTTTTACTTGTATTCTCGAAACTCTACTCCAATACGAAACTCTGGTTATTAAATATATGAAGACCAAGATGTTGTGGCCTCTGGTGTGGTCGCAGTCTCCTTTCGATTGATAGAA